CTAATCTCACCTAAAGTTCCACTTATTTTTATTTTTTACATCAGTTAAGGAGAAATGGACCTTTCTTAGTGCAAGGTCAAACTTCTCTGCACTACCATTAGCTATTGGATATCTGTGGTCTCAGCAGTGCTTTTACTGCCTTTCCTACTGTGCTCTTCCATCATTTCAATCTTTGCTTACTTTTTGAGATGTTTTTCATTTGAACTTTAAACAGTTGCTTCTCCACTTAATTTTTGAAGAGCATAGGAGAAGTGATTTTTTTTAACTAGTATGCAAAGATAATCAGCTTAATAAACTGTTTTAAAAACAGATTAATGCCTCTTCTGAGTGGGAAGATGAAGGAAACTAATATGTGTATGTCTAAAGGGTTCCACAAGAAACTGAATTACTTACCATTAATGTATGAGTCAGTGCAGTGACAGATGTTGACAAAACTTTTTTGATGCTTGGGACTCTCATAATTAATTTCATTCTTTAATTCTAGAAGGACAGGTAGAATGGAAAATGGAGCAAGACAGTTTCAAAATGCTCTTACATAGGACACTTCCTGTTTGCATTACAGGAAAGTAAGATATTTTGTATGGCTGTTGGTCTCTGCTTATTCTGTCGTGTGTTTGAGAAGCAATGTGTATGCTTCATGTTCAGCTGCTTTCCAAGCTGAAGATGGTGTAACTTAATCGGGGGAAGTGTATGGTAGAGGAGAATACACATGGCATATAAACAAGAAAATACCTCCTTGAATATCAACATTCTTTCTTCTCTGTGTACATGTTTAAAAACTTTCTAGAAAGTATAACCTTGCACTGTCCAGCCTCAGGAGCGACTGTATTCAGGGTCGCAGTCCCAATGCTTGCGTCCTCTTTGGTTTTTAGCTCAGCCGCAAGCTAACCGCATCGCCCCAAGTGGTAGGTAGCTGATAATAGGACTTTGTTCCTATTCCTTAGCACACTAAGAATATGGTAAAAATAGTTGTAGGGGAAAGCAAGCTAAAATCCACTAGGAAGAACATAAAGACAACAAGAGCAATCTGACTGACATGCGGGCTAAAGCTGAGCAGAAAGCAGCCAAACAAAAAGGTGAAAAAATGGTAAGCGTGTGATAATGTGGCGCAAGAGGAGGTTCGGTCACTGCAGAGCTAGGTTAGGTGGGAACAATAATACTGTGAAGTTAAAAATGTAAATAGAAATAGAGAACTTTTAATCAGAAGCCACACTTGCGTAATATTAAGGTTGTGACATGGTGTGGCATAATCAATGCAGAAATGCAGCAAAGGGAGGAAAAAAATACACCTTCAAAATAGTCAGTTACCAGGAGAAAATTTGGCTTGGTTTTGTTTGTCTACATCTTTATGAGGATCCTAGAGAAAATCTGGATCTGTGTTTTTCCAAAGCTGCTAGTCTCTTCTGTTGTTTCACTTTATGCTTATCAAATCGCACCTCTTCTCTTCTTGCTAGATACAGCCTTTCAGCTAAGAGACTGAAGTGACAACTTTCCAATCTTCCGATTAAACAAACATGTTTATTAAAACTTCTCAAGAGTGTTTTTCCTAACTATTTGCCAATGTTTTATTGAAATAAATGTCAAGAACAACATTGTCGCAGACTCATGGTATAATTTAGGTTGGAGACCCACCACCCTGCTCAGAGTAGGGCCAACTTTGAGGTTGGATCAGGTTGTTCAAGGGCTGGTCAGCTTTGGAATATCTCTAAGGATGGAGGTTCTATGACTTGGAAACCTGTTGCAGTGCTCAACCATTACTCTGAATTCCTCCCCCCCAATTATCTTATTTCTTGTGTTTTGCTATTACAGTACGATTGATAGATCACTCCACTGCACTACTTCTCCGTAGCGCCTTCCAAGAAAAAACAGTGGGGACAAGGCCTATGTGCTAGTTAGTGTTCACCTAATGCCCAAGTTCCCAAAATAGTCAACAGATAAGGATGATGGGTCAAAGCAAAAGCTTAATTTAAGTGTTCTTGCACCGTCCTAAGTACTGGAGCCCTATGATGGAATGGCTTCTTATGTGTTTAAAAGTGGGCAATGTTAATATGTTACTCAACACCTGTGCTTAAAAAAAAATTCCATCTACGGGAATGTGACAGCCTAATAAGAAAGATGGTGCAAAGCCAATTCCTTTACTAGACGTGGTTGTAGGATTTACTGAAAGAAAGGGTCCTGTTGCCTTCTACCCTTTGCTTTCCTAGCGGTGTTGGATCTGTTCTTTGTGGTTCAAGCAGAAGAGCTAATGCGAAAGAGATGGTGGGAGCATGTGGGGTGGTGGGTGCATCCGCCCTCCTTAGGGGCAGCAAACTTAGATGTGATTATCTTTATTAATTAAACAGTTATACACCAGTATTGCTCCTCCCTTAAGTAATCTGTGGTTTTCAGATGGCAGTAGACTTCATAGAGATGTTTCTTCTTACAGTCAGCTTTTTTTTTTCTTATTTTGGCACAAGTTGTTGCCTTAGGAAGCGATAACATTTGAGGTGCTTATCTGTGACTTGCAGCCTTGCAAGAGGAATGTCGATGAGTGTCGTGAAGTGTTTTCTGAATACTGGCAGGAATAAAGCGGAATTATTAACGCTTATATTGGAACATTTTTCTCCTGTTTTTAAACTTCTCTATAAAACTCTTGAGATTCGATGGCTTCTTCCAAACCTCATTAATATCAATAAAAAACTTGTTGCAGATTTTGTGAAGTGTTTTTTTTCTTGGACCTAAACCATAGAAAATAAGTCTACCTCCTGCTACCCTTAATGTGTATCTTGCCTTTTTAAATGCAAGGATGTGGCCAGAAAACTGCCTCTGAAGAGTTGTTCTAGAGTTGGTGTAGTCTGCGTTCACAGCTTTTTTTGAGTAAGCTTGCGAAGTATTCCCATCAAAGGTGACTTTGTACAACCAAGCAGCTGTAAAGTTGAACTTGTTGCATGATGAAGCTGGTACCTGAAAGTACAACTGTGTCCTTTTTGCTTCGTGTGCCATATTTAATTATCAAACCATAAAGCTGTTGGAGTTGGCATTTGGCTTGCTGAGAGATTTTAAAATAAAGAGTTGACCTCTGTTGCAGGTAACCAAATGTTGTTTTTAGAAGCTGTTTTATAAAATCATAATTCATTATTAGCTGAGGTTTAACAGCTGTGACCATTCAGATGGTGTTTTCTGTTAAAGCTGAGTGTCCTTGCGTCACAGTTTGTTTTTTTTTTTTAAAGAATAGCTGAATGTAGATACATATGAGATTCCCCTGAAGTGTGTCCACCATGTGAAATGTTAGGATTTGTTTTGCTTCATGCATCTTCAGTTTGTACTTTTTAAACTAGCTCTTCCTACTAGGTCAGTCCTAAAATTATATATCCATTTTTGTGTACTGAAAGTATTATTTATTTTTCCCGTTAAAAGCTGTAAACTAAAGGACGTAATAAATGCAAAATAGAGTTTGTTTTTTTTTATTTTAATGGACTAGCCTGTGAAAGTTATCACTAGTTGTGGCACGTGAGAGTACAAGCAAACTATTTCTAGCCGCAGGATTGTATGTTTATATAAGTTAGACTTTCCAGGCACAGACATACGCAGTATACTCTTGGGATAGCTTCCAAGTTACTGTGAAGAGCAAATCTTCTGGTATACTGGATACAAGGGAACGGTATTCCATCAGTTTGGCTGCTTGCATGCCTTGGGAATGGTTGGCTTTAGTCCGGAACTTTAATTTTAGGTTTTGGATATTTTAGTATAGAACTTAGTGTCTCATGTGACTCAAGCTATTGGAGCAGTCATTCAGATGCTCTAGAAGACATCTGTGAATACCTACTGAAGTGACTGCATAAGAATGAGGCAAATCAGATATTTTTATCTATAGAGCTTTTTTTGACAAATGCATATTTGTGACACAATACTTAAACTTATTTTTTAGAAAATAATTATACAGCGCTTGGAAAGGCAGAAAGATGGAGCTTGGGAGGAATGGTGTCATGCGAGATTTGCTGTTCACCTTTGTCTTTCTTGCAGCTTTGCCCAAAGGTACTTGGGCAATAACCAGTATTTAGCAGTCTTCATCTGCTTTCTTTAGGGGTGAAAAAGTTATTTTTAGTGTAAGATTAAAACACACTTTTGAAGATCAGTACAAAACCAGGAGGATCTTCTATAAAAGGACTCTCCTGTAGCTTGTCTATTTTTTGGTTTTGGTTTTTTTTTTCATTTCTGTGTGCCAAAGAAGTTTAAAAAAATTTGAATTGCTTTGTGGCCATGATTTCTGAACTATCCCTTACCAGAAAATCAGCCTTAACCAGCAGATGTGTACCTGTCAGAATCCAATTGTTGAATTCACTCTTGGGGCATATTAAGATCTCAGTAGTTACCACTTACGTAGTAGTTCGTACTTTTTACTCTTCTTCTTTAATTAAGACTAATGTAACAGTTGAGTTGCTTGCCAGCTGTTTAAGAAGGTGGGTTTTTTTAATTGAAGTTTCATGTTTTAAAGAACTGTCTTTTTATTTGCAGTTGCCAATGTAAAAAAAGAAGAGTATTGTTTGAAACTTTCTGGGACAGAGAGGACTGTTTTATTCTCTCATTCTTTGGTAAGCTGATTGTATTATTTTGGTACGACAAGCTACCTGTTGAAGGAGGGTTCTACGGTTATCATTGGTTAATCTCTTAATTAAATAAAGCATTTTCCAAGATGTTAGACAAAAATCAATATTTTACTGAGTGGGAATTTGCAGCCTTCAATTATAGGAAAAAAAGACTTCTGATTCTTAGTTGTACGCAGTCCTCAAACATGATTCTTTGTCTGTCCTGCTGCTATTCCTGAGTAATGTGTAAATGCTGACTTGTTAGTGACTTCCCCAGTAAATACTTTTGAAAGCTATTCATTTACTTCTACATGTGGTGCCAGGAAAGAGGGGAAACCTTGCTGACAGGGACTGAAACGTGGGAAACTAAGTGTGTATCCTTATCACAGAATAATTTCCTTCCGCCCCTGAAAGGGGAAGAACTGTTTTCACTTTGGAACAGAGGCGTCTTTTGCTAAAGCCAGATCACATTCTTGAATATTTCATGTTCAAATTTTCTAATGCTTCTTTCTCAAAACATTTGGAATACATCTAAAACTTCTACAGGGCAACTGTGACACACAAACAGCTGAGGGTCAGCTTAATGTGATTTTGATACTGAAATAAATGGAATTCAGGCTCTGGACAGGGAAGGCAGGGGAAGGAAGTGAAACACTTGGGTCCTTCCTTTTTCCTTTTTTTCCCCTCCAGTTTTTATTTTTCCTTGCTGTAAGTCCAACTACATTTAAATAGATGTGAATTTAAATGATCCTTTATTTGTATAATCTTTTTTGTTTAGAATCATTGGCAGATGGTTATTGCTAGTCTTAATTGTGTACATAATTTAGACCAGAAGGCACATCTGAAACAAAAGGTAATTAATACGTTCCTATCCTGGCTGAACAGAATCTGAGGCCACAACTTTTACTAAAACAGGATGTAAGGATGGCGAATTAACAAGACTAACCTCTCTTTGGTGGAATTTAATATACTTGAGACTACAGTTGAAGGGGCAGCGCAGTAAATTCATAAGACAACCTGACAAAAAAAAAGTTATTTCTAACAATAAACCCAAGTTTCACTACACTATTTATAAGCCATCTATTCACTATGCTATTCATATGTCATCCTATTCATAAGTGGGAGACTGAATTTGACGGTGCTTTTTATGAAGATGCATTCTTAGTCAGTTATTATCTAAGCTGTATTTGAACATTTCCATTTAATTTCTGGGAAATGGTTTTTACTGTCATGGAAGAGCTGATTATTTGCCAGCTGCAGTTAAATACAACGATAATTCTGATTCCATTCTGCTGCTAATCAAAAAAGATGGTAGGGGTCAACTTGAGAATAGGTTTCTTCAGCCAGGCTCACTCTGTGCCAAGCTGTCCTTCAAAGTAGCATGGTGTGTTAATGATTGTGGGTAGAATTCAATGGAGTGGCTCATTGCAGTTCATGATATGAAGAGTGTCCTCATTCTCACTGCTAAGGCAGGGTTCTTGAAGTGAGGGTCAGAAATCCCCAAACTAGGTGTCACCCAAGCACTGTGATCCTTTTCCTACTCGCGTGACTAACCTGGAAGGGTTTGCTAAACGTAGGGATGGAAGTGGATTAGAAAGCTTTGGTATAGAAAGAAAGTGAGATTGAAAGTGTGGTTTCAGAGTTAATTCACGCAATCTCTGTATGGGTGCTACTGAGAATAGCGTGTGTTCCTTGTCCCTGGCCCCAGTGGGGTATTTCCTTCTCCTTGCACTCAGTCCAGCAATCATGAGATCACAAAGGGAGTGGGATCAGCTTGTTGACATGATGGGAGATTAATTACTTCTTTTGGTATATTCGCTATCCATCAGCTCGGTGAACTTCATTCTAACAATTCAATGTTTCTTGCTATTTTTGCCAATCATTTTTAGAAGTGTTGTGGTTTCACCAATACCTAGAAGCAGTGTGAGTGTGCAAACTATTTTAGAACCGGTCTTATAAGTTCTTCTACCATTTATCTCAGCAACATCACAGTTCATAGCTGATAATCCTGATTGAAATGGAAGCCAACATATTTTTTTCCACACAGCTTTCCCTTAAAAAGGAAGATTCTCACACTCCTGTAAAAAGCCACAGTATTATAATAGAAGCCGTTTTGCAGCTGAATGCAGCAATTAGAATAAGAAACTTGTTCTGCAATAATGTAGGTAGTCTCTGATGGTTTATGCTGGATTTTAGGAGCACAGCTGTAAGAAATATTAAAAGACCTAATTTTCTAAACTTATACTGTTTTTATTAATATGTAGATGGTTATATAGTAAACTTTAAAGATAAATATATCTAATCAACCTGAAGGATAAAAGAACAATTTTGTACAGCACAGTGCCTAATATAGTCAAACTTTTCATCAGTGATACTAAACTTTCTTTAGATTTGTAATAAAGCTTATCTTTTTACTTAGGTCAGTGTCTCCTTGACAATTGTCCTTGAAGGAATTTCTGGAATAGCAAGGTATTTTTTATATTCAGAATGTTTAAAGCTTTGTTCAAGCTGTACATAAATTGCCTAGATGAATTGATCTGGAAATGATTGGTTGTAAAGACTTTAATGGTGGCTGCTATTCTGGAAGAACAGAACTGGCACTGGTGAAAGGTAGTTGGTCGCAGAAGGCAGTCGTGCCAATAGCCTGCCGAATCGGTAACTGAGATGTCCTCCTCAAAAGTGGTTGTGTCAATATGCCCGAACTCTTCATTGCTCTTCTGGCTGGCTGTAGACCTGATAGCGGAATGTGTGAGCTTGTCGTTATTTTAAGAACAGAAAAGGAGATTTGTGTAAAGCTTACAGTTTTTAAACCCATCTTCTCTTGAATCGTTAGTCTTCATTGTATCTTATATATGATATCAGATAAACTGCAGAGTTAATCCAGTCTGCGCCTTTCTTCATGGCCTGCAAGATAGAGGTTGATGGGACAAGTAAGTCTGTTGCTTAGCCAGCCATCATTTTAAATTTGAGCAGGAGGTTCGTGTTTTAAATCTTCTAGATCAAGGAGAATGGTGCATCACGTAGTCTGAAAAACATAGTGAGAACCAAAGGTTAGAAGCTG